AAATATAATTAATAATATATATTTTATAAAATTATTAATATTTTATATATAAAAAATAAAATAAAACCGGAACGGCCCGTTCTGAAACTGGAACGGGCCGTTCTGGTGCATTTTGGGTGTGTTAATTTTGCACTTGGAACGGGACGTTCCGGATGCAAAATTAACACACCAAAAGTGCACCCAAAACGGCCTGTTCGTTCTGGGTCTAGGTGTTTTAAAAAAATTCTCATCCACGTGGATGCCACGTATGCATCTACGTGGCGTCCACGTGACCAAAAGTTAACAACGTTAAAGCAATTTGGACGGAAAGTCCTACATTGAAACCAATTAATTAATTTAGGACTAAATTGAAACCAATTAATTAATTTGGAACGAAATTGAGACAAAAAATTAATCAAAGACTAAATTGAAACAAAAAAAAATTATAAGGAACCAAAATAGAATTTTAGCCATAAGAAAATTTATACTAAAATTTAACTTCTAAAATATAAATATTCAAACACATGTTAGCCGAATTCTTAACAAGAATCAATAGAACAATTTTTTCAATCGCGTAGCCTTATAATCTTCTTGTGTGATGAATAAGTAAAGTGGAATAGAATGAGAAAGTGCGTGCGGTTTCTGGGGCATGCTTCGTCACCACCATTCACCAATCTTCCCGCGGATTTTGAACTCCTCATTTGGCAGCGTGCAGCATCAACATGTTCACCGCAGCAACCATCCCCAACCCCAGAAGCCCCAATTTCCGTTTCCTCCAAAACCCGAATGCGACGAGTCTCTGCTCCTCCACTACCTCTCCAACGGGTTGCACCACGAGGCCCAAAACCTCCTCCAAAACTCCTCCGAAGGGGACCTTCACACGCGCGTCGTTCGCTGGACCTCCCTACTCTCCAGCTTCTCCCGCCACGGTCATGTGCCCCAAGCACGCGCACTGTTCGACATAATGCCCCACAGAAACCTCGTCACTTTCAATGCCATGTTGTCCGCGTACCTCGGCTCCGGCATGCTCCACGAGGCTTTCCGCTTCTTCCGGGCCATGCCGGAGAAGAACGTCGTATCCTGGACCGCCATGCTCGGTGGGTTAGCCAACGCGGGCCGGATCGACGATGCGAGGAAGGTGTTTGATGAAATGCCTGAGAGGAATGTCGTTTCGTGGAACACCATGGTGGCGGCGTTGGTTAGGAGTGGGGAATTGGAGGAAGCGAGGGTGGTTTTTGAAGAGATTCCTTTTAAGAATGTGGTTTCTTGGAATGCTATGATTGCAGGGTATGTTGAGAGTGGGAGAATGGATGAGGCAAGAGCCTTGTTTGAGAAAATGGAATTTAGGAATGTGGTTACTTGGACTAGCATGATATCTGGTTATTGCCGTGAGGGGGATGTGGAGGAGGCTTATTGTTTGTTCCGGGCTATGCCCGAGAGAAATGTTGTTTCTTGGACTGCTTTGATTGGTGGGTTTGCTTGGAATGGGTTTTATGGAGAGGCATTGTTGCTTTTTCTTGAGATGGTGAGAGTTTCTGATGCGAAACCCAATGGCGAGACCTTTGTTTCACTTGTTTATGCTTGTGGTGGTTTGGGTTTTTCTTGGCTTGGTAAGCAGGTGCATGCTCAGGTGATTGTTAACAGCTGGGGGGTTGATGATTATGATGGTAGGTTGCGTAGAGGTCTTGTTAGGATGTACTCTGGGTTTGGTCTTATGGACTCTGCGCGCAATGTGCTTGAAGGTAATCTGAAAGACTGTGATGATCAGTGTTTCAATTCCATGATAGATGGTTATGTTAGAGCCGGTCAGCTGGAAAGAGCTCAAGAGTTGTTTGACATGGTACCTGTTAGGAGGAACAAGGTTGCGTCGACTTGCATGATTGCTGGCTATCTTAGTGCTGGGCAAGTATTGAATGCTTGGAATTTGTTTAAGATGTCTGATAGGGATTCCATTGCGTGGACTACGATGATTTACGGGTACGTGCAGAATGAGCTCATTGCTGAAGCGATCTGCTTATTTGCTGAGATGATGGCTCATGGTGCTTCTCCTTTGAATTCTACATATGCTGTTATATTCGGAGCCATGGGTTCAATTGCATATCTTGATCAGGGCCGGCAATTACATGGTATGCAGTTGAAGACAGTGTATGAATATGATTTGATTCTTGAGAACTCTCTAATTGCAATGTATGCAAAATGTGGGGAGATAGACGATGCATATAGGATATTCTCTAAGATGACTTACCGGGACAACATTTCTTGGAACACCATGATCATGTGCCTTTCAGATCATGGGAGAGCCAGTGAAGCTTTAAAAGTGTATGAAAATATGCTTGAATTTGGAATTTACCCGGATAGCCTTACTTTCCTGGGTGTCCTGACAGCATGTGCTCATGCGGGTCTTGTTGATAAAGGGTGGGAGTTATTTATTGCCATGGTTGATACTTATGATATTCAACCTGGCTTGGAGCATTATATTAGTATTATCAATCTTCTGGGTCGAGCAGGAAAGGTGAAAGATGCAGAGGAGTTTGTCTTGAGGCTACCTGTTGAACCAAATCATGCCATTTGGGGGGCACTAATTGGAGTGTGTGGATTGAGTAAAACTGATGCAGATGTTGCTAGGCGTGCAGCCAAACGACTATTTGAGTTGGATCCTTTAAATGCACCCGGCCATGTGACCCTCTGTAACATATATGCCGCAAATGATAGGAACATAGAGGAGACATGTTTAAGAAAAGAAATGAGGATGAAAGGTGTGAGGAAGGCACCTGGATGTAGTTGGATATTGGTGAAGGGGACAGTTCATGTTTTCTCATCTGATGATAAATTACTTCTGACAGTCTAAGTTAATGAAGAAAATTAGGCATGAAGACTTGTTAATTGTTATTTAGTTCTGGTGCATTTGGTAAAAGAATTAGGCTATCATTGCGTTAGAATTGGGTATATAGAGTATAAACTATATTCCACTTAGTATTGTAATCTTTATGGCCAACATTACATTATTGTCATCGATAATCTTCTATGTAGACCTCTGCTAGCGGTCTCAGCATGTCATTTTGGTAATATTGAGAATGTCTTTCTGTCCTATTGTTTTTATGTACAAAAAGTACAAATAAAATAAGAGTATTTGTCATTTGTTCTAAAGCAAGATTTTTTTTTTATCCATAGGAATCACAATGATGATAATAGGACTCAAACTTAGTATCACATGTATATTATCTCAACCACCATCATTAAGGTAAATCCTAATAATGGTTCCCAAAGCAAGATTGATTGTGGATTAATATATTTTTTTTTATTTATTCAAGGACTAGTATTATAATGCCCCCCAGAACAAAATTATTTTAGGGAAGCCGGGAATTTAATATGAAACTCCTTGCTACATATTTTTATAATTTTATGAAGAAATTCTGTCAGTCACACTAGTAATTCAAATTTAACGCGCACCAGCTTTGTCAAGTTCTTCCAAAGCTGCCCACAGTTTTGGATCCTCATAATCCTTAATCAGAAAGGCAGGCTTTGCTTCCATCAGCAAATGCTCTGGGTTTCGAGTAGCTAAACCTATAACAGGCATCCCAGCTGCTACCCCGGCTTTGATCCCTGAAACAGAATCCTAAGACAGAAAAACAGAAAGTAGGTCAAAAGCAGATCTAGAGCAAGTTATTCTCTATTTAGGCATCACAAAAATGCAGACCTCAAATACAAATGCATGATCCTTTGATGCCTTCAGAACTTCAAGAGCTTTCAGGTAGGGGTCTGGGTGAGGTTTGGCATGTTCACATTCATCACCAATAATTACGGCATCAAAGAAATCTAAGAGACCAAGTTTTGAGATCATGAGTTCTGCATTTGCTCTTGGAGCATTTGTAACTGCAGCTCTCTTCAGACCATGATTTTCAACCCATTTCCTCACTTTATCAAGGCCTTTCAAAGGATTCAGTTGATCTGCTGCCACTCTGTATAGTCCATCATGGAATTATCGTCTGAAGCTTCAAATGGATAACATGAGAGAGAGAGAGAGAGAGCATGGTTTACCTCCGGAACATGTCTTCCTTATCTTCTACGAACTTCAAACCTCGTTCCAGATCACCAGGAAAGACAATCAAGGCAGTATCATCGCTGTGTTTGCCAGAAAAAGTCTCAATAAAATACTCCTCTGTTATTGGAGCACCACCATTAAAACCAATCTGACAACCACCAAGTTTCTTGTCAGTTTACCAAGAGCCATTCATCATGTGATTATTAATGTTGTTTTGTAAATACAACTGAAGAAATATTGCAACAAAATAGCTATAATTATTTTTCTAAATATTTAAGCATTACAACTTTTCTAATAAGAAAAGAAACTGTACCTGTTGGAGCATTTCACGCAAAGCATAGTAGTGGAGTGGATCAGAATCACAAAGAGTTCCATCTACATCAAAGAGCACTGCCTCGAGTGGAGCCAGTCTAGTCAGAGAACTCATGCTGCTGGCACAACATGATGGTAATGAGAGACAAGTTCAGCAAATGATCAGGATTTGCCTGTGCCCTGCATACTAAATTTTCCCTTTTGAATTGAAACATAGACAGCATATTAAAGACCTACCTTCTGCTGAAGTTCAGCTTCTATTTAGAAGAATGGGGATAACAAGGATAGGACTTTAAATTACATGGTTATAAAAGCTCCAATACATTGTCATTAACCAACTATTCAAAAGCTTAAGTTAATGGGAGAAGGCACATAAAGTAGTTCATATACCTTTTGTTTGGGCACAAAATCCAACCTCGTTTTCCCTTGTTCTACATGATTTTTATCTCGACCAGAATATAAAAGTAAAAAAAAAAAAAAAAAAAAAAAAAAAAAA